AAGTCACGACCTGAGTTATCATTCATGCTTTACCTTCTCTGTAACATCTTCCCAGTGTTTGAATTAAAATCCCTACATTCACAGGTGTTACATGATAGGAGACCAAGAGATGGAGTCCATTGTTTTCCCTCAGGAAATTTTCTTTGCCTCCAAAGTCCTAGGCAGATGCTAGAAAGCCTTGGCCCTTGTTGATTAGATCATAGAATTCATTTAGAATCTGCTTTTGATAAACCAGGGCAAAAAAAAAAACAAACAGATGATTTGGTTCATTTAAGTGAATTTTTTGGGTGTGAGCTGAGCTCTGTGCAGAGCCCTCTATTCCTCCTCTTTGGGGGTCTGAGGATTACGAAGTTTGATACAGGATGAAAGAAAGCATCCTCAAGTGTAGGTTTTATTTCCACTTTCGAGAATTCTCCTTTTAACTCTACACTCTATTTTTAAATGAGTTAATTGCTTCCTTGATGTCCAGTTTTTTAGGTTCTTTTTTTTAAGATATTATCCATTTATAGTGTGTGGAGTTGGTAAAAATCTTTTCCTCTTCTCTAGGGTATCATTTTGTCCCAGTGATAGTGTCCTTTGCCAAACAGAAGCTTTTCAGTTCCCTTTATTAATTGTTGCTTTTACTAACTGTACAATTGGTTGTCTGTTTAGAAGGCCAATCCTGTGTCTTTGAGTTCAAGATTATTCCCCACTTTCTCTTCTCTTAGGCTCAGTATATGTGGTATATGTTGTTGTGTTTGATCCACATGGAGTTGAACTTTATACAAGGCCATCAGTATAGATATGTTCAGTGTTCTGTGTTTTGAGGACATTATCAATGTATCAGGCCAAAACCATTACAGTATGACCCTAGAAAAATACAATGGTCTATCTGCACTGGAATGCTGATATACTCCTACTTAAACCCATGTTTTTGTTGTTGTTTTTGTTTTTTGTTTCCCTGAGGTGAGGTGTTTGAGTTGTTGTTTGGTTTCTTGAGTTTTGTTTTTTGGTTTGTTTTTTTCAAGACTGTTTTTTTCTGTGTTAGAGCTCTGGCAGTTCTGGAACTCTATATGCCATGCTGATGTCAAACTCACAGAGATCCTCCTGCCTCCTGAGTGTTGGGATTGAAGGAATGGGCAACCACCACATGACCTAAACACAATGATTTTAAGTAGGCATGTGGATAATGGGTAACCCACTTGCCTATTTTTATTATTGGCAGAGTATGAAAACCTTCACTTGAAATAATTGATCTATTCCATTGAGGTTACCAGGAGACTTTTTCTGCCTTTTATTTTTTGGAGCATCACTATCTTTCCTTTATGATTTCTTACTCTTCTCTTCCCTTCAGAAAATATTCATCACAAAATACAATGGATCCAATGTGAGTTTCTCTTTCTTCCACATTGATATCCTGCCTTAGATGCCAGGGACTCACTCTCCCAACTGACATTCATCCTCCAGCACCAAAGCACCTTATATACTTATATGATAATCTGTTATTGAAAAGGGTATACTATGTTTAAATTACATTTATAGAGGATAATCGTGGCTGAAATTGGAAGCATGAGTATCAGGATTTCAAAGCCCTTATCACTTACAAATTGAATCCCAGATAACTAATATTATTTGGAACTTTTTTTGAAAAGGAAAAAAATGGAAATGGCTATATCTCAGTAGCAGAGTGCTGGCTTAGCATGTACTAGTTTCTGGGTTCAATCTTAAGCATCACATATAATCAGGTGTGTTTTCATCTGCATGTAAACTCAGGAGGCAGAGGCAGACACTAAAGGTCATACTTAACTACACATTGAGTAGCAGACCAGCCTGGAATAGAGGAGAATGTTTCTCAAAATAACATTAATAATCCTAATAATAATTTTGAGAAACTCAGTTGGGAGTTTGAGCTTGATAGCAGCCTTTCTTCTTCACTTAGATTAGAACACAATCTCTTATATATCAAAAATGTTTTCCTCTTTTAGGCATGTGTTACTTGCTATGTAGTTGATTCCTATGTTTAGAATCATGCTTGTTTCCCACACCAATGAGACAATAAATTGAAAACAAATTAAAAATTCAGTATTGAAATATCAAATACTATGATGCAGGAGGCCATACTGTAGTTACCAAAAGGTGATTGCAGGCAATAAAAGTGGAGAATTCCAGGACACTGTACTAGGTCAGGCCAGTCTGAGAAATCTACCTTCTAGAAAACATGTTGTGGTAGGAAATACAACAGAATAGGTGGGGCCAGGAAAGAAACCCTTCTCTTTTGATAATACACAGAGTCATTCATCAAAGTAGTTATTATGAGGACCAATTACATAAAAGACTGAAGCAGGAACTTCACAAATTCAAATTAAACCAGGACACATCCTCATATATCTTTCTGTGCACTGACATCACTTCTTGGGATGAAAGGCGTGAGTGCTTCCCAGTACTGGGATTAAAGTTATGTGCCACCAATGCCTGTCTCTGTTTCCAGTGTAGTCTTGAACTCACAGAGATCAAGATAGGATTAAAGGGATGTGCGACCATTTTCTGGCTCTGTTTCAGGTGTGGCCTCAGGTTCAACTCACAGAGATCTAGATGGATCTCTGACTCTAAGTGATAGCATTAAGTTGTGTGTCACCACTATTTGGCCTTTTTGTCTAATCTAGTGGTTGGATCTGACCTCTGACGCCACGCAAATTTTTTTGAGTACACAATATATCACTATATCATTTCCTGTGTAATGGTTTCTAAACTATACAAACTTAGATAAAGCAACCTCACTCACTAGAATGGTGGTTTGAATAAGAATGTCCAACCCCCATAAACTCATTTATTAAAAACCTTACTCACAAGTTATTTTAAAAGGAACTTTTAGGGCCTTGAGAGATGGTCTGGTCAGTAAAATGCTTGTTCAAGCATCAGGACATGAGTTTGGATTCTTAGCACCTAGAGACTAAGGCACTGTGGTGTGTGTATGCAGTCTCAGCACTAGGAATCAGCCATAGAAAGGTATTTGGAGCTCACTGCCAGGCAGTGGTCAATTAACATTTCTAGGCTGAAGTTGAGGTTCTTTGTCAAAAATAAGGTGGAGGACAATTAGAGAAGACTGTAGCATCAGTTTCGCCTGTAAGTATGCAAGCACAAGCATGTGCATAAGCAACTGCACACATGTGCACACACTAGCCCAAACATGTACAAATATATACACAATGCATGTGTACAAACTAACTTCCTTATTTTGTCGATCATTGTTCTATAATTTTAGTTCCTAATGCTTTGTTCATTCATCTATTGTTTGAAATACATCATGCAGAATATATGAGATGGGATTTGTTCTTTGTACATAATTAATAAACACTTTACCACCAGTTATTACAGCTTTCTTTATTTTCTTTAGATTTTTTTTCTTTTATTCTTTACTCTTTCTGGGGTCTAACACTCAGCTCCCAAATAATGATATGGAGAAATATTCTTCTCTATGAATGTCGGGCCTTAGCTTGGCTTGTTTAAAAGCAGCTGTTCTTATCTTAAATTAGCCAGTCTAACTTTTCCCTCTGGGCCTTTACCTTTTTCTATTTTTGTATATCTTTTTTACCTTTTAGTCGGCTTCTGGCAGTATGGCTGGGTAGCTGCTCCTCAGCATCTTTCTCTCCTTCTCCTTTCCTCAGTACTTCCTCTTCTCTTATTCTCCTATTTATTTTCTCTGACTGGCTGCCCTATCTATCTCTCTCCTGCCTAGCTATTGGCCATTCAGTTCTTTATTAGACCAATCAGGTATTTTAGACAGGCAAAGCAACATGGCCTCACAGGGTTAAACAAATGCAATATATCTTTGCATCATGAAACAAATATTTTACATCATAAAAAAATGTATCATATCTTGAACTAATATCCCACAGTTCTTCTCTTTTGATGGGTTTTTTATTAAATACCAAAGTCATCTACTATAGTCCTCTTTTTCTTCTTAAACTGCTATCATACCATTTATATTATTATGATATTGTAAGAAATTTATATATTTTTAGAATAGCTAGGCAACTTGTTAATGTTCAGCCTGGATCAAATTTTCAATTTCAAAGATTAGGAAAGAGGAAAAGGTAGTAATACATATAAACTGATACTGAACTGGAAAAGGCAGTGCATACCTTTAATCCCAGCACTTGTCAGGCAGAGGAACCTGGACATTTTTGAGTTTGATATCTGCATATTGAGTGAGTCCCATGAGAGCTAAAAACATACAGTGTGACCATGTCTCAACAAAACAAACAACAAAAACTGGAAACTATGGAGTACCATTATTAGAAATGTGAGCTATGTCTCTGCACCCACTTTTATTTTTTTCTTTTATTAATATTATTAAGAAATTTTCCACTCATTTTACATACAAACCACAGATCCCCTGGCCTCATTCTTCCCCAACGCCAGCTTTCCCCTCAATGCACCCCCATTCCCACCTCCCCCAGTTTAAGGTCTCCCATGGGGATTCAGCAGAGCAGGTACATTCAGCTGAGACAATTCCAAGGCCCTCCGCTCTGAACCAAGGTTGCACACACTAGGCTCCAAAAAGCCCAATCATGCAACAGAGATGGATACTGATCCCCCTGCCTGAGGTTCCCTCAAACTGTTGAAGCTAAACAACTGCCTCCAGTACCCGGAGGCCTAGTCCAGTCCCATGTGGCTCCATAGCAATGATGAACCCTCTTTTAGACATGTACTCAAATGTAGTGTATGTAAAGAAAGAAACAGACATTTTTCCATTTAACTGTATTTTATTATTTAATAGCAATAAAAGAGATAACAGTACAGTAGGAAATATTTACAAAAAGCCTAATGTGCTGGATTAAAGGTTCTCCCTTCATGGCCACTGGAGAAGAAAGGCTGGACAGGGTTTTTGAAGGTGCCAGGGCGGGTACCTGTATATGACGGAACTCTTGGGAACATTCACGAAACTTAAACATCCACGCTCACAATCCAGGAGCACCCCAACCCTGCCCAGGGGCTTCTCTACATAGTGCCAATATAGAGGGCATGTGGTGAGGAGACTGTAATGATTACCCTCCTTCATACACACAAGAAGAAAGGCACCCTCAGAGTCAATCATTTGGTTTGTATTCCTTAACCAGGAATCCTCACAGACCCCTACAGCCCAGTCCCCAGAGTCCTGCAAATCCACCTCCCAGTAATATTTCCCTGAATTGAACCTCAAGGATCCCCAGCAAGCCAAATAGCATCCAACAGAATCCACAGATGTATCCTTAAGGTGAGGTCCGAGGCTGAATTCTCTCAAGACATTAAATAGGTTCATGTTGGAATGGGAGGTGGTTACATTGTCAAAGAAAATGGGCACCTGGAATTGCTTGCACCTTTCAGTCAGTCC